CTACACTACTGCTGTCACTACTGTCATTTCACTTTAGCTTCTCTCAGTTTTCTCCAGTCTTCTTGTACTGTACTTTTATCTCTAGTTGACCACTCTGTTATCTACACTACTGCTGTCACTACTGTCATCTCCTCACTTTAGCTTCTCTCAGTTTTCTCCAGTCTTCTTGTACTGTACTTTTATCTCTAGTTGACCACTCTGTTAACTACACTACTGCTGTCACTACTATCATTATCTCACTTCAGCTGCTCTCAGCTTCCTCCAGTATTCTTGTACTATTTTTTGTCTTTTCTACTCTAATTCTTGTCTATTTACTATAATTCACATTATTCTGCTCTACCTGTAGACTTTTCTGCTCTAAATTTATTCTACACTACCCCACTATTCTTCTACCATAGTATACAGTACCATAGTTTTTGGCACAAAAGTCTACAGCACCATAGTTTATGGCACCATAATCTACAGCACCATAGTTAATGGCACCATAATTAACATCACCATAGTTATTGGCACTATAATCTACAGCACCATAGTTTATGGCACTATAATTAACAACACCATAGTTAATGGCACCATAATTAACAGCACCATAGTTAATGGCACTATAATCTACAGCACCATAGTTTATGGCACCATAGTTAACAGCACCATAGTTTATGGCACCGTAGTCTACAGCACCATAGTTTATGGCACCATAGTTAACAGCACCATAGTTTATGGCACCATAGTCTACAGCACCATAGTTAATGGCACCATAGTCTACAGCACCATAGTTTATGGCACCGTAGTCTTCAGCACCATAGTTTATGGCACTGTAGTCTACAGCACCATAGTTTATGGCACCATAGTCTACAGCACCATAGTTTTTGGCACCGTAGTCTACAGCACCATAGTTTATGGCACCGTAGTCTACAGCACCATAGTTTATGGCACCGTAGTCTACAGCACCATAGTTTATGGCACCGTAGTCTACAGCACCATAGTTTTTGGCACCGTAGTCTACAGCACCATAGTTTACAGCAATGTACTCTTTGGCACTGTTGTTCACCGTATGCTGTTATTTGTATTAAACATTTCCTTCTTTTTCGTGAAAATGTTTTTTGGAAGATTTAATTTTGAGCAAACTTTTTTTTTAATTAGCAGGGATTTAAGGCACGAAAGGAAGTTGAAGCTAAGAAGTTTGAAGCAGGAGCAGCTTCTTCTGGGGCGACACCAACTGCAGAGGCAGAGGTGACACCTGCTGACACAGAAGCACCTCCTGCAGAGGAGAAGAAAGAAGAGGAGGAAGAAATTGATATTGATCTGGAAGATCCTGAAGTGGAAAAAGCTGCAACTAAAATTCAGGCTGGTTTTAAAGGTAGTTTGATGTAATTTGTGTATATGTGTTGGGCTGTGTTTGTGCTTCTGATGTGTTGATTGTGTTAGTGTACTAAAGATACATTGTGTTCTTCTTTTTGCATCTTGTTTGTGTATCTCTATTTATATACATTATTTTAATTGTGGATTTTTTTGTATGTATCTTTTAGGACTTAAGGCCAGAAAAGAGGTTGCTGCCATGAAGAAAGAGTCTGAACCAGATACTTCCCAGAAACTGAAGGTGAAGGTCAGGGTGAAGGTCAAGGTGAAGGTCCAACAGAGGGTGAGAAACCTGCTGAAGGTGAGAAGAAGCCAGAGGAAGAAGAAGAAATTGACATTGACTTAAATGACCCAGAGGTCGGAAAAGCTGCAACTAAAATTCAAGCTGGATTCCGTGGCATGCAGGCAAGAAAAGAAGTTGCCACAAAGAAAACATCAGAGACAGCTGCTGAGGAGGGTGAAAAAGCTACAGAAGAACAACCTCCAGCAGATGTAGCACCAGCAGAAGAACAACCAGCAGAACAACAACCAGCAGAAGAAACAGCAGCAGAACAGCAACCAACAGAAGAAACACCAGCAGACGCAGCTACTGAGGACACTGGATAAATATACCTTACCTTAAAACTGACCTTGACCTTGAAGAGAAAGTCAGATCTGTATATATGGACATGGCAGTTGATCCACACATGTTATACCATGTGTAGTATCCCTGTACAGTGTACAGGTATATAATTATCTATGGCAGTACACAAGAAAATGGTGCATAGTAACACCATTTACTACTTGCAGAAACCCCAAAACAATACTGCAACTTTATTTATAGTTTAGAAGGTCTTTGTTTTCTGGCTCTTTTCAATAATTTATTATTGTCATTATGATCACTTTTTTGATAATTTCCAACTTATCAAACTTTTGGTTGGGGCAAATGAGAAAAAAAAACTTTTATTTTTCAGAGATATAAGAAAAAGTGGACATTTCTAGATGTGAACAATTGAAATTTCAATACTTTGTTTCTAATGTTGGTATTATTTAAAATAGTTATGAAATCATGAAGAGATGCAGATTCACTCTCTAAAACTGTTATAAACATTTGATTTAGGGATAAACATTACCATCCAATGGGTCTTTTACCCCAGATAGGAATGTTATTGCACATGTACAGCACCCCAATTTAAATTTTTATTCTCAAATTTCCTTAATTACCCAGCAGTGTTATGGCCAAAGAATTTGGTTATTCTGTTTATTTACATACAGTGGTCAAAGGAAAAAATACCACCTCTCTCATTGTGAAATTTATGATTTATAAATGAACATAAGAGAATTTTAGATTGTTTTGATTGTTGATTTTGGATTGTTTCATGTCTTTGAGGGGGGCAGTAGAAAGTGGCCTTAGCCTGCAATCATTTTCCTCATTTGTTGAGATTGAAAACATACTTCAAGTAGCTACTATTTAGAGTTAAATTTTCAACAAAAAAAATCATAAAAATTTAAACAACTGAACATCTCAAACAATTCTCTGACAGTGTAAAACAAGTTTAGCAGTTTCTATCCTTTTTGTTTGTATTTTATATTGTAAAGTATGTGCATTTATTACTATGGGTTTATTTACATTTAAAGACATATTCATGGATTTGGATGTCTATCTTGAACACAGTTCTGTACTACACACAAATTCAAACACTATTCATATTTCATTAATATTTTGTTTTCAAGTTTGATAATTTGATAAAGTATCTTGCCAAAACAAATATCTTCAAATAAAAAGAGGTCACTTTTGCAAACTTTTAATCACACTACACATGTAGCTGTCGTTACAAGTATCTGCAAAACAGGATTTTGGAATTGATTAATCAATTTAAGTTTGTTTAAAATGCCTTTACACCTCACTGGTATAAATAAGAATGCCAGAGACTTCTTCAGACATTTATAGCTACATTGTAAATTGCATATGCTTGTGTTCAATAATTTTGAAAGTTGAAATATTTCATATATTATCAATAAAGTTCCTTTTCAAAAAAAAAGCGTCTGAATTTTTCACAAGCCATTCTTTCCGATAAGACCCTTTTTCCAACGCAAACTTACTCTCTACATATATCTTTATACCTCAAATGGAGAAGTTGCTTTCTTTTAAAAAAAGCAGAAGCACTAACTTTGTGTTCTGATGTCTACTAACAATAACTGGGGCTTCATTCCACGAAATTTTGGAATGAGAGAGGCCGGGAAAAGCGATTCTGGAGGATGTCAGTGGCATGAAGTCTATTAGTACTTAGATAAGATCGTCGTTCTTTTTCTTAATAAAATATTTTATACTCGGTTCTGTTCTAATGTACTGGTGGGTATCACAAGGTCGCCATTGCTATCGTGCAGTATCCATTTTTTTCTTTTTTAGATATTTTTATGTACAGACATACTGCCATCATCGTCATAAGTTATTTAGACTACGGCGCTGTATGGACCCCGAATTAGTGTTCTACTGTCAATAACTTTATAGCAGTGAAACTGCTGAACTCTCAAAAGCTCAGAAAATTTTAGTTCAGTAGAAAAAGAAAAGTAAAAAACTTCCCTGTGGGCAGGTGGTTGACTGCTGTCAAAGGAAAAGGTCCATTTAGGATCAGCATATAGGATCAGTTGTCACTTATGAACCAAGTTAGTCGAAAATTTATGCCTCCCAGGAGGATATCCACTCGTGAGTTGACGATACCATAATTTTGTAATTTTCGAGAAAACCCCGTTGACCCGTGTTTTGAAAGGTGCATCGCCTCGAGGATGATATTATTGTGTGGAAAGTTTCTTAAATGATGAGGGAATATGACCGCTAAGTCATTTTTCATATTTACTGAATTTTGACAATAAAAGAAATCACCCTTCAATTTTTAAGATCAGGTAATGACTGTAGGAAAACGACAAAACCAAGCCCTCTCTGTCTCTCTCTCTCTCTCTCTCTCACCTCTCTCGCACACACACACACACACACCACTTTCCAAAGGTGAGAGACTCGTTTGTTCTTAACATCTACCATGATGAAGCAGAACAAAATGTTTCAAGTAATATGATTGCGTTGGAGAAAAACACACATAATTAACCTGCGGCCCTTGTAGCGGGTAGATGTTTGTCATCTTCATAGAACACAACACCTTCAGTGTGGTTTTTGCAGGCTTAGACTGGTGAATACAAGCAGTGTATTGGTAAAGTTTGGGCTACTTTTTAACGTAACTTGCTTGGAAAAAAAACCCCTCATTTCACTCAACTGTAGCTTGACATGATAGTCTTTAGAGGACGATACGCAGTTTATACAAATGGTTGGGTAATTTCAAAAAGGTAAATTTATGGAGAGAAAGGTGTTTTTGACATTCATTTATGTAGATAAACAGAGGAAAGCCTTATGTTTGTCTTCATAGATAAAATAAGGAAATAATGATATAGTAAGCTTATCGTAAGGAATGAAGATAATTGTCCGGTAGTTGGCCGTTAAATGTCAGAACGCCGTATGAATGGCGACCGAGAATGACGAGTAGTTGTTTATGGGGCATTAAGTCTTAACATTACAACAGTGAGGAATGCCTAAAATGCAGACAGCTCTCAAAGAAGTATTTTCTGCTTTATTATCAGGTGAGATTTCTATTCTGATAGGAAAATCTTTAATTAGGAAAAAAACGCACTTGTCAACTCGTGACAAAGGGTGCGGTTTTCTTTTCTTCTTCGTGGTAAAATCTGGCATAAAGAAAAGACAAGAAATTGGTTGAAAAGGAACTAATTTTACTCTACACTTAAACCAATGGCCATACATTTCCTAATGTGACGTGTTGGTATGTGTCTTTGAAAAGGGTGTCACTTCAGAGCCAGCAGGCTTCTCTCGGGTAAATGATCAAAATTGTCTTCCACGGGTGCAGGTTTTTAATTTGCATCAAATTTGCGCATTTATTTTTAATGAAGACGTCTAGTAAATGTAACTGAAAAATATTGACAAATTCAATTTCAAAATTCAAAATGATAATTATGTGCAATGTGTAAATACAAACACCTTATGTGATCAACTATCCTTGCCTTTGCTGCGATTTATCTATACTTTCATTGATCGATTTAAAACATTCGCTTCGATGTGGAACATCACACAGACAACCAGTTAATATATGATAAGAACTATATTCAGGTTCAAAATTTTCATCAGCAGTATCTGATTAAGTGTACTCTAAAAGGCGGCAGCTCTGTCGGGCGGTCGAACTGTGTTTTAATAACTTAAATAATCTCCTTGATGTCATTGATGTCATGGTGTTTTGGCACCAATGTGATATCTACTCCAAAAACTGATGCCGTCAATAACCTTTGTCACTCTAGATGCGGTACACGCTTCGTCGTTGGCCTTTTCAGGATGTCTGTAAACTCTACTTTGACTACTTTAGCGGTACAGGTGAAATCTGACCTCAACAAAGAGAGCCACGTGGTTTCAGTGTTCTACTCAGAAACGGTTGTGAGAGAAACGATCATGAGAGTAACAGACGATGACATTTTGTTGTTTACATTGGCTTCCTCAGTGGATTCATTTTAACCTGCTAAAACCAGTCCAGTGTTCGGTTTTGCCCATCATTTTGAACGGAAAAGGTGGTATTCGTTTAGTTGCAGCAGTATATCCGCATAGACAGAGAGTCCTGTATCCTGTATAGGTGGCATCGTCGTTTTAAAAATTAAGTATCTTATTTCACATCTGTGGAAATTGTTCCGGAAGGTAGGGTTGATTTATTGTTCTCATTAACGTAATTGGCCGGCCAGGTGTCGGAGTATTTTCACCTGCAAAGTTCAGCCAGAAGAGACACCGTCCTACCACACTAAAGCCGGGGAGCTGGAGCTTTGTCATTAGATAAATAAAGAAGGCGAGAACTATCTGAAGAATCGTGGGGAAATGTTCCTTTTTGGAATTACTTTCAATCCACAATACCTCACTGTTTTAAAAGCTCTGTCCAGGCTCCATTTGTTATGTCCATGTGTACAGCTGCAATGCACTAGTGGAGATTTATGCCTCCTCTGTGTTGTCGTACCGAGGTGTACAGGACCTTCAATATCTGCGGCATTTCTTTAAAAAGTGAAAATTTGAGTCACTCCAGCGATGCAGCAATTTTGTGTGATATATGGATAATAATGACTTGGACCATTAATTTCGCTGTTTTCATTCTATATAGCGTCCAATATAGAAAGAAATCGTCTCAGCGTTCACGTATCTCTCAGAGTAACAGACGCCATGACAACAACTTCATCAGTGGTGACAACCAGTGAACCATGACAACAGCTTCATCAGTGGTGACAACCAGTGAACCATGACAACAGCTTCATCAGTGGTGACAACCAGTGTACCATGACAACAACTTCATCAGTGGTGACAACCAGTGTACCATGACAACAGCTACATCAGTTGTGACAACCAGTGTACCGTGACAACAGCTACATCAG